AGTAAGCTCTAATCGAGGGATAATTTTATCGGCTTTCGAACAACTGGGGCCTGGTCATTTGTGTATACATTTCAGACCTTTTTCAAGAATTATCTAAGACTTTGGCGAACTAACATATAGGCGTTTGCGAACTGATCCAGGACATTGGTGAACCGACTTCATACGTTCGCGAACTAGTCGTTTGCGAAACGACCGGTTACGCTGAAATGTTAGACATAAAGGTTTACAAAGCGAGAGGGAATAACATCCAAATTACAAAGAGACGAAGACCTTCGATCGAATACCTAATTCTTACTTGTGTCTTTCAACAGGCACAAAGATAGAATTCGCAAAAGTAGAAGTGCTAGTCCTCGTGTGAATAAACTCGTCACTCTCACGTTTAATAAAACATGCAGTGTTTCAAAATACGCTTAAAGAGTAAAGCATACCGAGACGAAATTTAGGAGAAATGTATCTCCGAGTCTGATATCACCAGGAGAGAAAAATCACTCGAAAACTTATGGAATTGGGCTTTCAATCGATTTGTAAACGTTTCCTCGTCTGACGGTCACCCAAGTAGCAAGCGGAGCTTCCTATTTGACCTTGTCCCGAAATGCTTGGGCGTCTACGAACTCGCTGATTGTTTTTGTTTCCTAAATCCTCTTTTCAATTACTTCGTTATCACAAACGCGGAATGAAAACGTTAAGAACCGTAACAAATAGACGCTAGACACTTTCAGAAACTAAGTGTTACGATTATCGAACTATTTTTGATGAGTCTGTCACGCAATCCCAGATTTTTCTAGAATTATCTTTAGTCTGTAATATTCCAGAAACTTCTTTCATGTGACTCAGCAGTTTCCAAAAATAGTTTAATTTGTAATATGCTATAAATTTCAATAAACATTCTAGATACCTAAAGTAAATGTATAAAAGCTGGCTTGTGAGAAGTAAGAAAAAAAAGATTTGCCCGAGGGCTTACCCTCGTGGCCGGCTAACTGAGGTTGTGGAAGCTATGATGTGACGAGGCTATGACCTTTTGACCTTGCGATATACGGAGAGAAGAAAGAGAAGAAGAAGACGATAGCCGAGACGGGAAGACGATAAAGAATAAAGAGTTCACTGTTGAGTCCTCCGGAAGAATTTTTATACACGAAAGAATACCATTAATCAAGAAAGCCAAACGTTGTGGTCTTCAGTCGCTGGAAGTTGGAACTCGAAGTTGATCAAGACGGTGAACACTTATACGGCATGAACTTTTTGTAAGCCTGCTTTACAAACTGCTTAACTTAATCTCTAACCTAAGTAAATTAGACAGTGTAAAACTAATTAAATAATAGTTAAAGTGGGTAACTACTTGTTGTTACATTTTCGTTGCGTGCTTTACGTACTCGGGAGTCTATTTTCATTTAGTCCAACATTGTTACACACATGTTAGGCATTCCTTTTCTGAAATATAGACAATGCCGAGAATGGCCACTACCCCCGCAATGCGTACTGATTGAGCGTGGCCTTTAATTCTTTTTTTAAGGTTATTCATCGAGATCTTGCAGCTCGAAATGTGTTGGTTGGAGAAGAGGAAACGTGCAAAGTGACGGACTTTGGAATGGCCAGAGATGTGCAAGAGGACAACATTTACGAAAGAAAAACCAGGGTATGAATGATTTTAAGAAAACACGTGATGTCCACGTACGGCTTGGATTATATGGGTGAAGATGCCTAACTGAAGTGACAGCTTAAAGAAAAACAAAACCAGGAAATCCAGTTCAGTATTCGGGAACTTTTGGTACAGTGTTCTCGCCATTTACGTTAACTCTTTTTTTTAACTCTTATTAAGGGGCGTCTCCCTGTGAAATGGACTGCTATTGAGGCGCTGCTCTACGGAAAATATTCTACAAGAAGTGATGTGTGAGTACAAGGATGACATGAACACTGGCACTGTAATTAGGCTTAATAAGAATGATTTTGTCTGAACCGTTTTCAGTTTTGGGAAGAGTTATTGGCTTCTGTATTTTGGGTTTTGTATTTTCTTGATGTGAGGTCATCTCAGCCAGGTGTGGTTAAACTCATTCTAGCATTGTATTGTGGGTAGTGACAAGAGATCAGTCTTATGATCCGTTAACCTTGTCCTTCGCCACACCCCCTCTACTCCCCGTCGAAGATGTTTAAATTTTTGCAGTAAGAAAATTTTATTTCCATAAATTAATCCCCTTTGTTTTAAAGGTGGAGCTATGGAGTTCTACTCTATGAGATTTTCACGATTGGTAAGTTATCATACTTTAGGGTATTCAATTTTGGCCATTTGCATCCTAACTGCCCGCCTGGTTCAGATTGCCGAAGTCGGTGGACTTGGCAGAAAAAAAGAATTAATGAGCAATTACACAAAATGATGGTGTTATGTGAAAATATTTTTTGATACGTTTAGTCTTTTATTTTAGAGTATGTTGACATTAGCTGCTCTAATTCAGGTGGCTCGCCGTATCCGCGGATGGATGGAAGAAAGATTGCAAACTTACTTCAAGAGGGATACAGAATGCCTAAACCACGACATGTGGATCATGATTTGTATGATAATTAACAAATGGTTAACACCATAACTTACACTATTGAGTTATGGATGCACGCGGGAGGTTGCTAAGCGTGAAAGAAGCATGAGAGTCGCACGAGGCGATCGCCGAGAGCGACTCTTGCTTCTTGAATGCTTAGCAAACCTCCGAAGTGCATCCATAACTCAATAGTGTACGTTGTGGTGTTACCATTTGTTTTATTGCATAGCACTGATGCATTGTAGTAAAAAAGTTCCCTTTAATTTAACAAATCTTACGTGAGCAGAAAAAACAAGCGCGCGCGGAAAACTAGTCCTTACATTTGCTTACGTCAGCAGCATACGCCCATGGGCAAATGGTGGACGCTGAATCGACCAATCAGTTCACGTGCTTTACCTTGGTCATGTAATATCGTGTTGCTGTTGTTAGTTTTTGTTTTTCCTTCTAATTGGCTTTTAACGAACAACAGTATTTGTCCTGTCTTTGTTCGAGTTGCATGTGTGCCTCAAGATTCACCATTTTAACTTGTTGAACCAGGTAACGAAGGGAAATGAAAGAAGTACATGATCACGAGTTTATAAGTGTGGCGTTACTATATAACTTTTCTCCGCTATCATAAAATGATTAAAATTTGAAACAAGAAGCTTGTTCAACAAGGATAGGTTGAACCGGTTTTGATTAAAATTTTTCTTAATCCCAGCATTTTCCGCGTTAATGTCGCCAATGACAAACTAAGATATTCATTACTTCCTTGTGTTTTAGGTACGACATAATGACAAAATGTTGGAAGGACGACCCTACCTTGAGACCATCCTTTGATGATTTGAGGAATGAACTCAGAGAAATGGAAAATCAGTACAAGGTAGAATTATATAATTTACAAAGAGACTCTCTCGGGTTTTTTTTCCTTTAGAAAGTTTGATTGTTCGAATCTACCGCCGATTCAAATTTACTTGGTAACGGCGTCACCATGAAGGCTTTGAAACGTAGCTCATGGTTTCAATTTACTTCCCCTTTAGTACAGTTTTCAGTGGAGTATCAAAATTGATCCTGGGATGCTTTAGATTTAGTTACTTCGCTCTTCTATTAATCTAGAAAATCTTAACATTTGTTCTGATTAATATAGTTGTCAATTCCTTGGGTTTAGTACAAGCTCTCTTTCCAGGTTAAGCTTAACAGAGTATAGAATGATTTACACGCTATTTTTTCTTTTCTTTTTTTTTTTTTTTTTCCCTCATCGTTTCTCTAATTTCTTTTAATTGTTTTTCTTCAGAGGCTGATAAACTTAAAAAATTACGACGATCGACTATACGTTAATGTTGAGGATCTAGCCGAGTAAGCCAGCAAATCCTCAGGCAGGAAAGGATGGAGTGACGGATATTGTAGCCCCAATAAGATTATCTTCTATTTTCCTCACATCTTTCACATTAACTCTTAACTCTTTGCCGAGTAAGCAAATCTAAAAAACAAGCTGTTCAACAGTAAAGCGAGTCAAAGTGCAGCTTTCATTTGTTTTTATATATATTTTTGTAATTTTTAGTCTTGAAAAGAAAAACGATTTTGTATATATATCTTATCAACCAAGCGCGAGGACCGTACTGGGAGATTATCAGCCCGAGGTCTTGACAGTACGGACGGAGCGCAGCGAGGTCCGTACAAAAAAGACCAAGGGCCGATATTCTTCCAGTACGGTCCCGAGCAAGCTTGGTTAATAAGAGATATATTATACGACAGAAGTTCAAAGGGACACAAGTGCGATATCATTCGGGACCATTTAGGACAGTGCCCGGTCCAATACTGAGAGAATAGTGACCGGCAATAGAGCATTTTGACAGTTTAATTTTGGATATTGGCCCTCTGACTACCCGAGTCGTGTAATAAAAACGAGTATAAAACCTGTATTTGGCGATATAAAGTTTTTAAATTTTTTCAACAAAACCGGTATTTTCTTTTCAAATGTAGTAATAGATCCACACAATAAATCTTACAATAGTATCTTGCAAGGCATGATCATTTTTTCAGCCGTCGTATTGAAATTTGAAAATCTGAGATATCATCATCTGAGATAATTTGGATATATCAACAAAGTTGAAATGGTAAATTGGCCACCGTAACGATTACAAAAGCTATCGTTTCGAGCGTTAGCCCTTCGTCGGAGCGAACAGAGGAATTGTGGGTTGTGTGTGCTTTTAAAGACAGAAAATGGAGCTACGTTATTGGTGGGAACATGGCAACGAGAAAAACAGGAATAAATTGGTGGAATGAAAAGCGTTCGTTGATCCCTGTGGGAGTTAGACTGCCGGTTTGAAAGATGAGCTTTTGTTCAAGATTTTTACGGCTTTCCGTGCTACCTAAGTGTAAGGAAAGACCGCAGATTGCCATATGTTGCTTAGAATGATTAGGTAAATTAAAATGCCTAGCGACTGGTTTCGATGTGTCTTGAACAAAAGCTCATCTTTCAAACCGGCAGTCTAA